TATCTTATTCGTGGGGCACCCTCATGTAAAAGAGCCGTACATTTGTACAACACTAAATGGAATGACCCTAATAGGATTGATGATGTTGTTGGCAATAATTGGTAGAGTTTCAATAGATAGACATTGATGGAGATGCGTTTTATTCGTAACTTAGTTTCTCTCTCTTTACTGTTATGGATATCTCGCTGGTTAATATTTAAGTTTTATATGTTAGCTACATTTTTGTTGATGAAAGTTTTATCGGGTAATTTGATGTATTAAAATATTTATTTTACTAATGAAACAGACCAAAAATTTGTTTGTAATGGTAGAATATTGTTTAATTATTATTTATTATAAACATGATTTTCCAAAAGTAATATAGAAAATATTATTTGTACACCAGGATTGACACTCCGGTGTACACTCCCCTCACATAAAAGGATGGGTCCCATGACAATAAAAAATCTTAGGATTCTCCATGTGAGGGAAGTGCTCATCGGAGTGTCAATCTAGGCGTACATATAGCAAAACTCTATTTCTATAGTAAATCTTGAATTACTATTTTTCAGCAGACTTTCCAATTGAATTTTTTTATTTTTATTGCTTTATTAACGGAAAATAAATTATTAAAGCTAGTTTTTTAATTATGACTGATGAAAAATCTAAGTTGGTTTTTTCGTTGATAAAGTTATTTTCAAACCATATTCCTAATATTTGGTGTTGATCTACTTATTTGGAACTTCTTATCTAATTTAGTTTGGATAATTTTTGCTTTATGTCCACTTTAATTAATTATTTTCACGTAAATTTTCGAGTTTGGCATCAATGACTCAACTTGCCCATTATCAAATTGGAGGATTCGAATTGTATCGTGATAGAGCGAAATTATGATGTTTTGGATTTTGATATCCAATAAATTTGATGTTACGATGTTATATGTTGGAATATATTTCATATGGCTTGGTTGATGAGTGAAATAATTATCAACAACCAAGTCCAAATGTTCAACTCGACCCATTTATATTAAAATTTGGATGGCTTTAAATCTTGACTAGGAGTGTCAACGAGCCGAAACTCCCGCCTTGGGCTCGGTTGGAGCTTTTTTAAGGCGAACTTTTTTTTTGCCCGAGCAAAGCAAAAGCTCGGCCGAAAATTTAAGGCTCGAGTGTTACTAGGCCGAGCCGGCTCGGTTTTCACAAATTTAAAAAAAAAAAAAAAATCCCTTCTTAACTACCAAACAGGCAGCAAAATTTAGCCACCAAGCTTGATAACCTGCCTGCTGTGAGGAGATTAGCTGCCTGTTTGACAGCCAAAATAGCTGGCAAAACAGGCACCTCGAATGCTACCTTAACCTGCTGCTTCATAGTTGTCGGTTAAGGTAGTTTAGCTGCCAAACGGGCAGGTTTGGCAGCAGATTTATAACCCAAATTTTTATTTTTTATTTTTTTATAACGGGCTCACAAGTCGGTCGAGTCGACTCATGCCAACTCCCCAAAATGGGAACTCGGCCCAAACCTTGGCTTGATGCCTCCGAGTCGACTCGGGCTTTTTCTCGGCCAAGTCACTAGCGCTCTGAGTCGACGAGCCCGATTGCCATCTCTAATCTTAACCCATTTAACTTTGGAGAAATTAGGTCCACTACCCTTCAAAATTATCAAATTAGAATTCTACCCTAAAATTAATTAGAATCTTTACTGCAGTAATTAATATGGTCAAAGCCACCCTCGCCATGGCTTCCTTTTGTCCCGGTCAACATGAATTCACAGCATTAGCCGACCGCATATTTCCCTATACTTGCCACGCGATTTTTCTGCAGTCCTCGTACATGATTATACCTTTCCTTCATCAAAATCCCACTCAATATCTGCTTGGTTCCGCTTTGAGATTCATATTTGAACTCGGACTCTTCAATACGAGTTTTAGAGAAAAACCGGCAGGAAAGAATAAGGAATTTTGGGTTCCACGATTCCTGTGGTAATATTATTTAAAGAAGGGATACTAAAAGAGTAGTTGTGCATAATAGGCTGCAGTAGGTGGCGCAACTGATCTAATTCATTTCTCGCCTCCATTGGTAGATTTATTTAACAGTTCAAGGGATTTTATATTTAGGTGGTCCAACTATTCACGACTACATATTATACATTGTTTTCCATACTTACATCACCATCTTTGTTCCAAACCTATTCTTTTAGGGAAAATTGCAGTCGAGATACCAAACATTTTGTTTATTAGCAGACTTTGCCCAAACTTTTAGCTTGTGCCACTCACAGTCTCAAACCTTTCAAAAATATGCATCGGGGGTTCAAATGGATGGAAACCGTTTGTTTGACCGTTAATTGACCAATAAAATTGAATTTTGATCAATTTTTGACCAACTTAAAAGGGTAGAAAGGTAAATTTGCTATTTAATTCTATAATAAAACAAATAAACTAATATACCAAATAAAAATAAAAGAAACTACTATTTTTCTTCTTCTTCCCCCCACCCCACCCAGAAGCCCGATTCCATTGCCCAAAGCCACTAGTCTCCGGCCAAAAAACCACCCAAATGCACTGCCATTTCCTTGCAAGAAACAATGGCATCCCAGTTGCGAAAGAAATCACCCCTTGATGGTTGTTTATCTCTCTGTCCTCAACTCTATTTCCAAAGCTAAATTCATCTCTCTCCAAGTAAATTTTTTGATACTCTCTATGAACCTCCACTGAGGCATAATTTAATTCGCAGTTAAGCAAATAAGATACAGTAAGGTCAAATAAAAAGATAAAAAGAAGTTACACTCCACATTTACCGGGAGATGCGAAAACTTTCACTTCTTTAGTATTAGCAAACTGGTCTAATGCTCCATAATCAAGACCTCCAAAAGCATCTGAAACTGGAGAAGCACTTGAACCCCATACAAACTGAAGAAGCACTTGGCCGGAGAGAGAAATGAATTGAGGGGTCAAGTTGGCTAGAGACTATGGTGGCAACCACCCATGGAATCGGGGTTGGGTGTGGTGGCTGGGGCGGGGCGGGGCAGGGTGAAGACGAAGATGAACAGTATTCCCTTCTTTTCTTTGATTTTTATTTATTTTGTTTTTACTTTTCTATTGTTATTATTAATTATTTTAATTATTAATATTAAGAAAAAATGCAAAGTACCACTTTGCCCTTTTTAATTTGGTCCAAATTGGTCAAATTTTGACATTTCCAGTCAACTAACGGTAAAATGGACGGTTTCCATCCATTTGAACATCTGGTGCATATTTTTGAGAGATTTGGAACTGTGGGTGGCACAAACTAAAGGTTTGAACAAAGTTTGCTAATAAACGAAAGGTTTGGTACCCCGACTGCAATTTTCCCATTCTTTTATCATCTCAATTATCAATTCTTCGATTGCGGTGGACTGGCATTGTCTCGATAGATGAAAATATGCAATTCCCAGATAATAACCAACGTACAATTCACATGTATGATAGAACGAATTGAATAGTACTCGACTTGGTATTAAGAGAGGGGAAAGCTAATATTTTATTATACTATCAAATCCTACACGTCAAGCATGTCTTTCTACTATAAACTTAGCCATACATTAGTGCAGAGAGAAATATTTATGTATTGATGAGCACATATTATTTGTTACTTTTTGAATGGTGTTTCGTTACCTTTTTTTAGTGATTGTCACATTTTTTCTTCAAATTTTGTCATTCTTGAGTGTTTGTCTCGTTTTTGTCAATTTCTCGAATTTCTATAAATTTTTTTATTGTATGTTACGTTTTTCCGAAATTGCTCACTTTTTTGAATGACAAACATAAGTTTTGATTATTGTTTTATCACTTTTGCGTGTTCGTCACTTCTTTCAATTTCTGTCACATTTTTTTTTCAATTCGTGGAACTTTTTTTTTGTTCGTAACTTTTTTTGATTTTTGTCATTTTTTTTAGTGTCCGTCACTTTTTTTTTTTTTTTGAATTTGAGTTACTTTTTTTTTTTAATTTGTCACTTTTTTTAAATTTATATCACATTTTTGAATTATCATATTGTCACTTTTTAAAAAATAAAATTCCTTACTGTTTTTAGTGTTTATCACTTTCTTGAAATTTTTATTATTTCTTTTAGTGACAAACATTACTTTTAAATAAAAATGATATTGCACGTTATTTTTAATTTAAAAAAAAAAAAAAGACAATGTCACCTTTTAAGCTTAAGTGTCACTTTCTACATAACACCGATTTAACAATCCTTGAAACAAGCTTCCACGGCAAGAATGAACAATATGATGTAATAAACACAATATTTATTGAAAAAAGTGAATGTTAATTTATTTACATAATAATGCACGTCATATTTGATTTGGTATTGTTACTGCATATGACTTCAAGATTAATGTTGATTTTATTGAGGACCATCCTTCCAAAATATTTTAATTTTCACTTCGATCAATCTGCAATAATTTTTCTTGGAGCTTCCAGAATTCATTCTTGAATCTTGTATACACCGCCTATCACACTATAAGAGCTATCCATACCCGAAGTCATTACCTTAACCGCAAGAAAGATGCCAAAGACAGGACTAATGATTAGAATGAAACTGTAACAAGGTAACCATATTTGAAGAGTGAATTACTCAAATGGTCATTGAACTTTACAAAAAATTTTCATGAAATCCCTTAACTATAAAAATCACTCAGTTTGTCGCTGAACCTTGCAAAAAGTATCTAGATGTTCACTGAACATTAACAATCATCATATTCATCACTGAACTTGCAAACCGTTTCCATAAAATTACTGAACATTATAAAAGGTCTCCCAGGGTCACTAAATTATAAATTAGGTGATTTTTAAAGTTCATTGACCTCGTGAATTTTTTGTTTTTGCAAAGTTCAGTGATGAATTGAATGATTTTTAAAGTTCAATGACTCTGTGGAAACCTTTTACAAAATTCAGTGACCATTTGGATAATTCACTCTACATTTGAAAGTGCAGCAACAAACTTATGCAAAAGCTAAGTATATTACAAAAAATAGTAAACAACATTGGAAGCATCCTTGAAAAATCCCTTTCTTCAAAAAATTCAAAAACAAATAATAGGAGATGAATCTAGCTCTCCGACTAGCCAGACAATAATAGATATCGTCCTTTATTTTCCCTGCTCAATATCCAGTTTGGGTTTTAAAATATTGATATAAAATCTAAACATATTAAGGGGCCAAAGGATTCATAATGCTCTCAGCTAGCAAATATACAAAAGAGTATAGTGTATAGATAATTGACCCTTCTCAAGCTTCCCTGCCTCTACTGTGTTCAAAAGATGGACCGCAATTCACAAGGATCTCTCTTTGTACCTCAAATACAAAAAAAGTATAGTACTCGGAAGCACTAACTAAAAGCAAAACATTATTTGAGTTACTTTCAATCTACAGTATATACAGCCCCTTGCTCGTCGAACCTCAGCCACCAAACCGGTAACACCCTTTACCATGGACCTGTCTGAGTCCGTCTCAAGCATCGTCTTTTACTTCCATGCTTTTGGTTCATCATCTCCTGAACCTGCCATCATCAAATGTAACTAATGACAATTTGTTTTACTCAATGGTGCACCAAATTTAGTTCACTATATAGCAAAAAACACAAATATATATTCACACCCACGTGCACACGTTTGCCTGATGTACAGTCCGGGGTTCTGATTTTATGAATCATTTTATGATAGCCCGTGGCAAAAACCAGCTTATAATCTAAACTGGCCATGACAGATAAATCCCAATATCTTCATAACCCAAAATGCAACCATGTTAAGCCTGGCTGATTTACACATTTATACCTAACGTGTCAGTTTAAACCATAAAAACGAACCCCAACCATGCTTTTCGGCATAAACTTTTGTAAATGGTTGTGCCTAGAGTCGACAGAGGAAAGTAAGTGTTCCTCCTTCCAAGGAACCAAGAAACAATCAACTGTACTGCAACTAGACCAGGAATATTTTGCATTCAGAGGATTGAATAATGAATAGATGATACTAGAAATATGAGCATTTCATGCCCGCTGTCTCTTTTTCGCACGTTACTCTTTTTGAAAATGTATTTTTGTAGGATGACTCTAACAGGGATAACAATTCGAACTGTCAAACTTGAAACCGCGGTAAACGAACTGAATGGGGCGTAGAAAACCGAACTGATGGTACAATGGGGCATATATGGTATTTGATTTTAGTTACCCGGTTCAAGGAGGGATATGTATGGTATTTGTGCTGTCATCCCACCCCAAACCAATTACCTATTAAAAAAGAAAAAAAAAGCAATTGGGTTTTCCATTATTTTTTCTATCATAATTTGTCTAGCCCAAAATTTATAGCTCATTACTAACCCATTAAGTAATCTAACCCAATTACTACTTACCCACTAAGTACTAACCCTTCCACAAAGAAAATTGAAATCAAATTCAACAAACCATTAGCCGACAGCCGTCTTCACTAGTCTCTACCGTGCGTCCCCAAATTTTTTTCTTCTCCACACCGTATTCTTTCCTACTCACCATCTCCATCCCCAAATAAGAGGATATTTTTCTTCCTCTTCCCGTTTGCTAGCTGCTATTGTTGTAATCTGTATCTATTTTTGTTTTTGTCAAGTTTGAGTAGTTGATGAAATGTGATTTTTTTTTCTCCACATAAAAGATGAATTCAATAAACTTAGTCTGCCTAGAGATATTAAGTTTTACTGCTGGAGGAACTCGATGATATGTACTATGAGTTCGAAAATAATTAATGAAATGCAAAGATACGAGCAAGTTATTAAGCTATTGAATTTATCCTACACCAAATTGTAGGAAAAATACCTGGAGATTTTTACAGAGAATTTATAGAATTGTTGAACAAAATTATGAGAATTCTGCTCAAATGTCATTAGTAAATATCAATCAGAGAAGAAAAAGTAACGCAAGGTCTTTAGCTGCCAAAATTCTTTCTCAGTTGAATGTACTTCATGCACAGTCTTCATTTTTTTTATTGTGATATTGAAATGAGGGTACATATGTGGATATTAAATTGGGATATTGTTTGCATTTTAATTTTGGATGTTGTTTGCTACATTGATTTAGTATTATGTTTTTGTTTTCATTGAATTTTTTTTTTTTTTTTTTTTTTTTTTTAAATTTTTTTTTTTTTTTTTTTTTTTTATTTTTTTTTTTTTTTTTTTTTTTTATTTTTTTTTTTTTTTTTTTTTTTTATTTTTTTTTTTTTTTTTTTTTTTTATTTTTTTTTTTTTTTTTTTTTTTTATTTTTTTTTTTTTTTTTTTTTTTTATTTTTTTTTTTTTTTTTTTTTTTTAAATTTTTTTTTTTTTTTTTTTTTGTAAATTGTTTTTTTTTTTTTTAATTTAAGGGCTAGACCTATAAAAAATGATTTATTTTCGTAGTTATTAACGACCCGAGCCGAACTGACTTACATGGTTTTATGGTGTAGTTATAATATGGCCAAAAAATTAGTGGTTCGGTAATGGTTTGGGCCGAACTGACCCCGAACTGTTGTCAACCCTAGACCTATCCACGGTATATATTACCCAAAATAAAGTGATAAGATATCATATAATCGTGGAAGACACGTGGGATCAAGGCCATTTGATGCAGAAACAAGAGAAATGTTGTTAATTGCAATTGAAATACAGTAAAAATAAAAGCTAAAATTGAAGTCGAACAGTCCATTGTAAATAAGGCTGAAGGCAACAAACAGAAGTATCTGAACAGTTTGAGAAATGATGGAATTCTCGAAGAGCAAGGACAAAAATTCACCAATTATTGGGCACTACAAATGTTACGACTTAATTGCACATGTAGCTTGAGAGAAGACATGACCATGGACTAGTCAGAATGCAAAAAATATAACAATAATAACAGAAAAAAATATTGGAAGACAACAATTAGAATATGGATTATTCAAGGTCAATGCAGTTCACTAACACCATCACCCATCCCACTCCCCACATATAATGACATCAGACAATTAGTAGCTAATTTTCTGAACAGCCTAAGTGCAAAAGTGAAGATTTAAGTAGGTGGAATAATATTGATAGATATTTATCTGCAGGTATTAGACTAGTTTCAAGATTTTAACTTGAGAGTATTTTATCCTATTAGCAGTGTATTTCTCTATTTAGATATCCTATTAGCAGTGTATCTCTCAAGTTAAGGTTGGTGATGTGTATTCTGTGATTCTCTGTGCCTTTCAAATCTATAATGAATTTTGATTAAACAGGAAAAAAGCTAGTCTAAATAAGGTTACAAAGTCAATAAGCAAATAAACCAATATTACTGAAATTGGAAATAAAAGAAACTACTTGTACAAAGTTGGGTTGCAAAAGTTGGGTTACAAAGTGTGTTTGCAAAATCCAGGTAATTGATTTCAAATGATTTAAAAATCAATTTTTGAAATAATTGGTGTGGATGTAATTTTATCTTCCAACTTTGTCAACCCCCTTTATAAGTGTAGCATAAATCAGAAAGAAAACCTTAATTAATTTAATTGCATTTGCACCTCATATAAACTTTAAACAATGCATCATAAACACAACGATTCATGTCCCCGATGATCATTACGACACAAGAAGAGTAAGAACTTTGCCTTCAAAATGAGATTTTTAGGATAAGATTAAATATATAAATATATAATTCCTTTTATTGGTCAAAATTAGAAATAAGTTACTTCCAAAATAAGTAAGTTCTTTAACTTGGAAGTAAGGAAAAAGCAATGTATCCAAGTTAGTTAATTAATTTACTTAAACTTAACTTCTACTTCTCTTTAAGCTTAGCAGGACATGCTCTCTGTGAGAATTCATAAGTGAGATAGAGGATATAGAAGATTAATTAAAAGTAATGAATTCAATCTTAGCCCAATAAAGAAAATAAACAATTGGACGGGCCAAATAAGATTCACCAAATACCATGATAATTGTTTTTTCTTAAGGGAAAGATTGAGGGTGACAAATACCTGATTCCTCTGCATTTTCATCATTCCTTCCTGCAGAATAGAAGACCAGCAAATGGTGTAAATCAGGTTTAATTTAATAAGAATAAGAAGATACAGAAACGGAAAAAAAAAATCACATTAATGCCTACCAGTTTCTTCCGCAATTCTTGGTTATCTTCCTTCAGATTTGCAACTTCTGCTTCCAACTCCATAGTGTATGCCTGGAAAACATCAAACAGAAACAGGTTTCATGGAAGTTAAATGTGTTTTAAACAATAACATAACTGATTGATTAATATAAATTTATAGCCAGGAAACAAGTTAACTTTGTGTAACAACAGCAGAAGTAAAACAAATTATTATTGTTTCTTAAAACACATACTACATTACCTCGTAACAAATGGAAGCTTTAAACTTCTCAAGACGTGTATTCATCTCTTGACACATTAGATCGCTATCACATTAGCATTCTGCTGCATAAAGTATCCATTCTTTTGTAATGTTTGAGGGATGCAACATGATAAAAGCAGAATGTCAATGATCATCAGAATCCGTACAGGGACAAGTAGATGAAAATCATTTTCTCTTAACCTAGCTATTTACTTATTTTCTTAAACTTTTCCCCGTGATTAGATTTATCTCTATCTTTCTCAGTAAGCAGTAGTCTTGCATGTGTCTAATTTGTATTCAAAAATTTTAACCAGCTAAATTTTCAGCATCTGCAAGCTCCAGGAGAGCAATTAATAAACCTTTGCTTGATACCAAGTCTATTTCTCAAGAGAAATGGGGAAAAAGAAAAAAAATTGCCCTCCCCTAAGAGGGAATCGCCAAATTGTACATTCAATAATTGTCCATTTACCTCCACATAAGATTAGAGAGACGGCAAATTGCTAAGAATGGATTTTCAGAGATTTTTATTAGATTTTCTGTTAAAACCTTGTATTTAGAATTCATAAGTTCACTATTTCAACAAGTGATCATCAAAACAGTCATGTACATGCCACAACAGCTTCATATAGAAATTTGAAAAAATAAACCTAATTCTTGTACAAGAACTTTGAAATATTTACCTGCTTTCGAGCCCTCGATCTTGCAGCTGACTCTCTGTTCTTGATCATTCTCTTCTGCCGCCTTTCTACAACCTTCTCCAAAGCACCACTTCTCCTACCCCTCAAGCCACCATTAAACATATATGGTACTGGTGACACAGAAGACACATCTCCATTACTCTTCGCAAGCCCATCTGATGAAATGACTGGAGATCCCGTTGCAACTCCTCCTACCCCAGGTCCTAAACCAACCATTCCCAGTCCTCCACCCTGCAGTGTTGCACTTTGGACCAAATTATTATTCATTCCCGAATTGGAAACGCTACCAATCCCTCCCCTAATTGTGGTACCACCAAATTGATCACCATTTGATAGACCCAAGGGAGACCTAGAAGGCAAAACAGGTCGCTTGGGAAGAAGTTTCTGTTGCTGTAGAGGCTGCTGCTGCTGTTGACTCTGTTGTGAATGTGCAATAGATCTCACCGCCACTTCATTACTATTTTCTGGAATTCTATTATCCATCACCCCAACATTCCCATCTGCATTTTGATATCCAAATCCTGGAACAAGATTATTCCCGGCAAATGCCAAGTTACCAAAAAAACCAATATCATTAGGCTTTCCAGACAAATGAGTATCTTCCCTCACAACCCCGGCTTTCACCAAGAAATCCTCAAGTGTGATCTCGCCCAGAGTTGGTTCCCTCTGAGGCATCGTACTCAAGCCATCAACACTACCACTCCCATCCTTCCCAACACCATACTCCTTTGATAAATCCTTCCAAACCTCTTCAACCGTCTTCTGACTCAGTGTACGCGGCAGCGTCAAAGATCCCTGCCTCTGCAAATTGCCACCCCCTTCTTGGCCTCCCCCTCCTCCACTGCCTCCATTACTGGACCCTATATTTTGATTCTCCTCTGCACTCCAAATGTTTTTTAGCAACTCATCCATGTTCATTGATCCGACTTTACCAAAACTCCCCATGTTACTCTGAAACTCATCAAATGTCAATGAGTATACTGATGGCTGTCGCGTCAAGGAAAAACTATTAGGCAGCCTTCCAGCACCAATGCCTTCTTCCAGCGAATCATTTCCCAAATTCTTGAAGTTTAAATTACTCCCCATTTCAATCAACCAACCATATAACGAGGTCTCAAATTAATCCAAAGCCAACTGTTTTATTCATCAACAAAATAAGTCATATCAACAGTCTCCTGTCACTATCTCTCCCTCTTTGTAAACATATAACTATAGATATACAAGACTACATAGAATAATTAAGAACATTTACATCATTAAAAATGCAAAAGCGTTCGAGTATATCACAGATATGTATCCAAAATACACAACCAATAACTACTAGCGCAGGAAATCAAGTCTACTTTTTAAAACTGGTTTTCGACAAGCCCATCAGAATTTCAATCCAAAAGTAGGGAAAAAATAATATAACTAGATTAAAAGGCAAAAAAATAAATGAGCCCACATGTAAATATCTAGATCAAAGAAAGGAAACAATGAAAAAGAGTTCAAAAATATCACGGAACTAAAAAGAAGCCAACAGTCCAAAATTAGGAAATTGTAAACATGTAACATAGATATGTAAATAAAACTCCAATTATTATTATTATTTAAAAAAATGAAACAAAAGAAAAATCTACCTGATCTTTCCTATTTCTCCTCCCCCTCTCTTAAAATTTTTCCTCTTCTGGAGTTCCGTGTCGAACTATAGCAGTTGTTGAAACTTGAGAGGCTATTTAATGGAATAAAACAATGAGTGCTGTCGGACCAGTTTCTGAGGCGTGGACCAATAGAAGTAGGAGGGTTTGGTTTGACATTGAGCCAATGGGATTGACATAAGTGGGTTGATCTACTCCGTCCACGCATTGAGGAATGGGCGGTTCAGATCTTGGGAACTGAGGGGTTCACTTCTGCCGTAGAGAAATGAAATTCACTTTAGCTTCCAAAAATAGAAAAATATATGTTTGCTTTATTTGTTTCCTTTATCGCTTCGTGAATTAGCTGTGATTCAATTGAAATATTCTGAACTTCTAAAATTAATTAAAATTTTAATTGAGGGCACCACATAAATATTTTTTGAGTTTTTATATTATTCCAAAATTTTAATTGTTAGAGGGTGTTTGAAAGCCATTTTTTTATCTAAAAATGCATTTTGAAATAGTAAATTGATGGAAAATGCGTGGTTGAAAAATAAGGAAATTTTTTTTATTTACGTGTAATATTATTTTAATAAAAAATGTGTGGTTAAAAAGAAGAGAGAGAAAAATGCATTTTGAAAAAATGAGTACCAAATGAGGCCTTAGTAATATTCTTGATACATTATATTCCTCGAAGTGTCCCAATATAAGAAAAATAGTTGCCCTCAGGGCACATCTCCAAGTGATAAAAGGGAAGGGTGGAGAAATTCAGCTTTGTTTGAGGCTGCCGCGTCAAGGGTTCGAATTTTGAAATATAGATTTGGCTCTTGGGTAAATGCAAGTGTACAAACAGCCTTTCACCCTGTACCATTTGAGGCATAATTTGCGATTTACCACCCTCACGATACTCCAAAACAGGAGTGGTGGAGGACCCTTAAGGTTGGGGTTCAACCTTTAAAATAATAGTGCTTTAGACTTGTAATAAATTCAAAATATCCCTGTTTGAGGGGTAGTATTTTTTCACTTTTAGAAGAAATCCAACTGTTATTGGACCCCACACCACGTTTATTTTTGACTTTCAACTCACCAAGTTTGGGAAGATTGTGCACCAATGCCCAACAATCAAAAAAAGCCATTTTTAGGATAAAATGATGCCCCTCAAATGGAACTGAATTATTGTATGATTTCATGACATTGGTCAACTGCATATTAATTTATGGATTATGCTATACTTGCAAACTTTGTTTTCAAAATCCTTTACTCATTACTTACAATAGGAGGTGGGGATCACGAGCCGATATTTTTTAAATTCACGTAGGAGCCACTTGTTTGTGAAAATAAGTAATCCATTTTGTATACATTTATTTTTACATATATAGCCCTTGTTGATATTCATTCTTTGGCCATAAAAATGAAAAATATAACCGTTATCTATCATATCAAGCTATTATATTTGATTTTATATCTCTTGCGTAGATTTCGTAACGATTATATTTTACATTCACATTGTTAGAAAAATAAGTATCAAACGGGGTAGTTATCCTTAATTTATTACTGGATTGATTATGATTAACAATTCAAAAAATATTATGATATTTATTAATCACACATTTCAGGACTAAATAAATTGATCGTAAAATCCTAAAAATTTAAAATCCAACCCTTCCGAACATACCGGACAGACTCGGAAAACACCAAAACGAATCTAATAATGCCGAACTCTTTAGCCCCCGTTTGACCCCCATTACCTGAAAACGAAAATGGGGGAAATAATATTTTTTTTTTAAAATGAGTGGTTGAAAAAGAAAAAGGAAAAGTTTTCGATTTACGTGTAATATTATTTTATGAAAGATTGTGTGGTTGAAAATAGGAGAAAGAAAAATGGAATGTAATGTAATTCAATTTAATGGGGATCAAACGGGGGCTTAATGGGAAGTGATATATGCGATAAATAATATTGTAGCGGATGAAGATTATCTATATTCAAAGGTAAGATTACTGTATTATATTATGTGATGGGTTAGAAACATAATTTTCGTGAGAATCTAGTTGGGCTTCGTCCATTTTAAGTTTATGAAACTGCAAGTGAATAATAGACAATTTCGATTTCCATGGTGAAAAGGCTGAACATTTGTCATATTATAATTATGTATTATAACTGTTGAAATTAAATTTTTTTCAAATCCGAATTACATGTCTTACATGAATTGTTCAATGCATCTGTAAAACACACTATTGATGGTTGAAATAATGCCGTGTGCTACCTTAGTTGATGTATGTGGCTGCTATTGACGTTCGCCTATCATTTCTTGCGAACCTGATGTGGAATCAAGAAAAGCCAACCATGAAGATCTCAGTCACTGTCCGGGTTTTTGTGGTCTTTTATGAAGCAATGTCGGTGTGGTTACATTTTGAATAAAATCAATAGAGTAACACCCTCATAAGAAGAAAGAAATTAAAATATTGACATGAGCCGTGGAGAAGATGTAACTGGGAATTAATATTATAAATCTCATAGACAGTAACAGATTAACAACATTTTCCGTGGTTGCCTTTGAAGAATGAAAAACCTTGACAGGTTTGGGGTGGAGATTCTCAATGTGCATATTTGCTGAGCTGTCTAGTACCAAGATGGTCTTGCCTGAAGACTGATTCTGCATATTATTAAGACCCTGTTTGAGCCTCATTATTTCCTCATTAAAATGAAAAATATGACCGTTATACATCACATCAAACCACCATATTTAACTTTTTATCTCTTGTGTGAAGCCCATAATAGTTATATTTTTCATTCTCAATTTTACAATAATGGGACTCAAATGGGGGCTGACATTGAAGTCATGCCGGATAACTTTTATACTTCAAAAAAAAAAAATTAAAAATTAAAAAATCACCAAGTATTGATACTCAAATAGTTAGGATGAGATTCTGGTATACGGTGTACCTCTGTTGATAGACTTTCTTTGGCTTTCGTGGCAGGATTTACAAGGAAATATTGGCTCTAAAGAATTCATGTGGCAGATTCTCATGGTAACTTTGAAGGTCTAAGCGAAAGATTAAGCTTTAACAATGGTTTCTTTGTACAAATTTCCAGAGTCAATGTGATTGGTAAAAGCTGTAGAGAAATAGCATTGTGGTCACCGGCGTATGGTCTCTCTGAGGACCTGATTGAATACAAGGAATTGGGGATGGGAGTTTTGAAGGTTTAGAGGGGAAACTGAGTTTAATTTATTGGCCTGTTGGTGAGCAAACTGTTACAAAGGCATGGACTTTAGCCAGTTCTAAGAAATCTTTGAGGATAGGGGTTCCGGCAATAAGGTGTTTGATCAAGACAGAAATGAAACTTCTTTCAGTGGATTGATGTATTTGAGGTTGCAGTTGAAGCAACTGGCTTCTAATATGTGCACGTTCCCTAGTCCCTACTATGGTTCATATGATGAAATGGTGGCAGTAGTTCACAATATGGTATTTCATTATGATTAAATACTTTAGATTTTAAATCATTTTTAATGATTTTTTCCTTTTCCAGTGATTGCTTTTTTAGGTCTGTATGTGAAGTGTTAAAGAAAACAGAGAAGTAAATTTTATATATTGTATTGTCATGTCTAATTCGATACTGCCTACCAACCATGCCTCGACTGCATCTCCTTTTGTTTGTCACAATCTGAGTAGCCGTTACTTGTTCATTACTTCACAACAGGGTTGCTCACAATATTATTGTTGCTTCTTTTAAAAAAATAAATACTAACAATTTTCTAATAAAAGAGCCTAGATGCAGCAGTAGGTGCCACAAAAATAACTGAGATTGCTATGTTTATACAGAATTTTCACAGCCCTATAATGAATCGGGGCTGATAATGGTGGTGACAGTAAAACCAGGTGCGAAACATAAAGTCCCTGAAATAAGAATATCATTTTGACGTCTAATCAGTTCCATACTATGGTTTTGTATCACTGATCTCTCCCTTGCACACAGTAAGTTTCCATGTCAATAAAATGCGAGTTATTCACACCTTGTCACTTGAAGGTTAGATTCAGTTTCTCATAAATAACCTGGCTCGGCTCAACTTTTTTATAAATAGATTTTGAACTCTCTTGCTGAATTATCTAACCACTTTGTTTAGAACTTTAATTCTAGTATCTGTTGTTTTCAGAAGAAACGATTGGAAGCAATCTATCTCGACTTGTGCTCATATCTTGGTTATGTGTATACACCTGTAGCAGCATATTTTACTGCTATCTCGAGTTTGATGCTTGCATTCCCGAAGTTCCATCCATCTGTTCTAGATGTCGAATATCTTCTTAGGATGAATGCTCCAGTCAGATCCAATGGGAATTCCTTCATTGTTCGATACATGATTAATGTTTTACATTTGAAACTGTAGAATATTGATAGGCCTCCTATTAGATATACTTATTCTAGAAGGATCAAGAAAACTGCGGAGAGCTAATTGGCAGGAAGCAGCAAGTGGCAGCAACCAATTCTGATTCTGGTAGATGAACAAAACTCTTATAACAGAATTAGTTGCGAGAGGATTATAAAAAGGGAATAGGAGGAACCTGTGAAGGAGGAGAGTTTGAGTAGTAAAGAGTGTGGAGAGACTAGCCTTCTCGAATGGTTATGTGTTTTCTTTGCATCACTGTCATTTCCTTTTATCAATAAAGAGTATTCCATTTTCCTTATTATTTCAGCTAACATTCAGTGGTTTATTTACAGCACCTGAAGATCATCATCGACTTTAGGAAAATTCTAGATTTGTGTGGGTTATTCATCTCATTTCTTGGACCTTTTTCTTTAAGGAAACTAAAGAATAATCTAGAAGAAAAATCAGGAATTGAAGACCACCGCCATTCTAGATAAATCCTTTACCGCAATATTGGAAGAAGCTAGAAGGAAGCCACTGACTTTTGTGTAGAAAAAGAAGCCGATGACCTTGCAAGTATGTGTGTGTGTGTGTTGAGTATATGCATGTATGATGAGAGTGAAGTAAGAAGTGTGTCAAATTAGAGTGAGAATTTAGTAGGAAGAGAGAGGCAGCATATTGAGAGATACAGATACAACCATGCGTGTATTGTGTTGGAGAGAGAAATTTTCATTTGAGTAAATAAAATATTAGATAGTGGTCCTGTGAGTGTCTAAAATTGTAATATTTTATTTCATAATAAACATGTATTTTGGTGTCTAAGCTCATCAATTTGATATCAAAGCTCAGCAATTTGGTATCAGTGCCAGTCAATTGGGGACAAATTTTTGAGCTTCTCGAGATCATACACAAAAGGAGATTGTGAAGCTTTCTTAAAGTTTACTTGATTATGAAGAAGTAAATCAAGTCGCAATGAGCAACCTACAAGCGATAGGTGGAGTAAAGAAGCTCAGTAATTCGAATGTAGCCATATCTCCAAGGGCAAGACTTGTGGGAAGTTGTTGGTGGAAGTGACATGACACAACCAGAGGAAGCCACAATGAAGAAGTGGGGAATCAAAGCGATTGAGGCTTTTTTGTTATAATGACAACAATTAGGGAAGAATTGTTAGAGCACACAAGGGATAAGAACACACCAAAGGAAGCATGAGATACTTTGGACTAACTGTTCTCGAAGAAAAATGACTTAAGGTTGTAATTGCTAGAAAACGAGTTGTTCTTGATCACTCATGGTGAATTGACGGTAAGTCAATATTTCAACAAAGTTAAATCTCTTTGTCGTAAAATTTCAGAGTTAGATTCTTCAAGTAAGATTTTGAAGTCTAGAATGAGAAGAATAATCATACATGGTTTGAGACCCGAATTTAGTAGTTTTATTGATGCAATAGCATTCTTCATTAGTTAATTTTGAAAATTTGTTGGCCGACCAAAAAGCGTTGACTAGACAAATGTTAATGGGCTCAATAAAGAAAGAAGAGAAAAAAGCACTATATAATTATAAAAAAGAGGCCAATTCCATCAACAAAATAAAAAAAAACTAAAAGAAGATAATTTTAGACGGATTAAAGGAAGTTACTAGACAAGAGGAGCTAAATAAAATCGTAACAAGAGATGTCAATTGTTCAATGAATATCAACGAACTAATGACTCGTGCTTTGTATGTGGATAATGATGCCATTATACTACAGATTGCTGGTTTAAAAAGGAATCGACAAAAGGTAAAATAGTAACCTCGAATAAGTAAGAAAAATATAATGGTGAAGAAGAATGTAATGCTGAGGCATCCATAACAATAATTGACCAGGCTCAAGGAAAAAATTTTAATTCAAGTTTAAAGGATGAATCATCATTAGTAGTCGTCCTTCCTGAATAAATGCATTATGGAGATGATTGAATTGATGACTTAGAAAAAGATGATTGGATCGATGACTTGGGAGAAGATACTGTGGTTTATGAAGAGTTTTTGGGGTGAACTCCGCAGGGAGGAATTAATAGACCCAGAAGAGGTGCTTGGAAAAACATATTCTTGGCAAACACCATAGAGGGCGGAGTTGCAAGATTTAAAGGAAATAGAAGACAAACTGCAAGAAGAAATTATAGAAGCCCAACAACGAAGTCCTAAGAAATCTAAATTTCTACAAGTGTTAAGGGATAAAGAAGAGCTTGCAAGAAAGGCATAGAATCCTTCGCAAATTGGTGCAGATCAAGAAATATTAGCAAAAAATTGACAAAGTCACCAAGGTATCGAGGTACATACAGATCTATAATCACAAATGAGGAAGTTAGACAAACGTGAGGAATCGAGTACGAAGCATGTTAATCTAAAAATTAATAAAGAGAAAAGCATGAAAGAGTCAGAGTGATTAAATGAAGGATCGAACGTTCCAAAACTTTTTAAGTTTGATTTAGAGCTGGGCTTGACAAAAATAAAGAGTTAAAATGAAAACTCGGTGCTGAAAGAAAGAATTGAAGATCATCACTGACTTTGGGAAAATTTTAGATTTGTGTTGGTTATTCATCTCATTTCTTGGATCTTATTCTTTAAGGAAACTAAAGAATAATCTAGAAGAGAAATCTGGAATTGAAGACGACCACCATTATTAAATCCTTCGTCGCCATATTGGAAGAAGCTAGAAGGAAGCCACCTTAGACCCACAATTTGAAGAAAATTTAGATAATTTAGATTTTTGAGATAATTTATCGTTAGAAACTTTAAAAACTGATTTCATACCAAGAAATAAAGAATTAATAATATTTAACAATACATCTTCTAAGATAAATAGTATAGGCAAGATTTTAGAATTAGCAGAAAGAATTCAAATAATAGGAGACGACCCGATAAAACATTGGGATAAAAATAAAATAGAAACTAAACTAGAAATTATAAATGAAAATATAAAAATTAGAACAATAGAAATAAAATATACAAATTAAGATATAGAAGATTTTAATATACAGATTAAAAAGTTATTAGTTTTAAAAGTAATAACACAATCTAGTAGTCAATACAAATCAACAGTCTTTATGGTTAGAAATCATAGTGAAATAAAAGAGGAAAAACAAGAATTGTTGTAAACTATAAAAGATTAAACGATAATACAGTAGAAGATGAATCTAAGATACCAGATAAAGATATGCTAATAAATAAAATACAAAATAGCAAAATATTTTCTAAATTTGATTGTAAATCTGGATTTTGGCAAGTAAAATGGTAAAAAGTTCAATTCCTTGGATAGTCTTTACTACTCCATTAGGACATTTTGAATGGTTAGTCATGCCTTTTGGATTAAAAATTACACTCTATTTTTCAAAGAAAGATGGATAATATATTTAATTCTTTTTCATTTGTTTGTGTATATATAGATGATATTTTAATACATGATAAAAACTATAAAGAACTTATAAAACATTTAGAGATAACTCTAAATAAGTTTATAGAAAATGGTTTAGTTATAAGTAAAAAGAAAATAGAAATTAATAAACAAAAAAATTGGAATTTTAAGAATAATTTTATGAGAAGGAAAGATTCAACTACAACTACACATAGTACAAACAATTTTACAAATTTCAAATAAAATTGAAGAAACTAAGAAATTATAAACATTTCTAGGAATATTAAATTATGCTAGACATTTTATCAAAAATTTAAAAATGAAAGTAGGATCATTGTATAGTAAATTATATAATAAAGGACAAAAATATTTTAATCAATCAAATATAGAACTCGTTAAAAGAATAAAAGAAAAAGTTAAAAATTTACCACTATTAGAATTACCATTAGATAGTGAATATAAGATAATAGAAACATATGGATGAATTAGGATGGAGAGAAATTTTATACTCCAAACCAAATAAATAGTGATAAAAAGAAGAAAAAAATTGTAGATATGCTAGCGGAAAATATAAAATAAGAGGAAAATATTTAATTAGTTTAGATTGTGAAATAATGGCCATCATACATAGCATAGAAAGTTTTAAATTATTCCTAAATACCGAGTTTACAATAAGAACAGATTGTGAAGTTATAGTAAAATTTATCAAAAAGACAAAGTTTGATAAGATAAGACATAAAATATGGTTAAAATTATATAAGATGTTAAGTAGTTATAAAATTAACATAGAACATATAGATGGAAAAAATAATATTTCAATAGATAATTTAAGCAGGCAGGTTATTAATTTTCTAAATCATTGTCTTCATGATGCAGATGAATCAAAAAATGATAAACTTTGGGAATGTCACTTTAAGAGTAGCCCCTCAAGGATCTAATCTTCGATTAAGAGGAAATAATTTAGAAAGACTGTCAGAAAGGGAGCGTTGTTTACTGAATAATCTCTAGATGACACGTGACTCTAAACAAAAATTAGATAGCATTAATGCCTTAGTTAACCGTTTTAGACAGATTCACAATCAAGTAGAAAACAGAAAGTTTTGTTTCTTTGCACTAATTAAAGGTAGAAAGCCTGGTATAAATAATTATTGGCCAGCAGTATTACAACAAGTAAAAAGATTTCCTGACCCATTTTTTGAAGGATGTTATACACTCGAAGAAGCTTTAAATTTTTGCAAAGAAATGATATGATTTAACTTTTTTATATCTGAAAGAGTTAGACAAATTATGCAAACCACTCATTCTCAAACATCATCTTCATCATATTAACTTTGCAATATTTGTGAAATTATGACCAAAGTTGTTAAAAAATTAAATCTTAGAAAGCATTCATTAGAAGAAATATTTCAAATCCTTGAAGATGAAATTTTTCATACCAACAGACTATTAGTAAATATCAAAATGAAATTCTTTAGTTACAAGTTTAAAAATATTTAGTTCTAAAGATACTCTTGAAAGACCTATTTCTCTAGACATTGTTTCTGTAAGTAGAAATTATTATGATAAAATAGAAAGATTAATTGAACTAATTGATTCTACAGTTGCAGTGCAAGAAAAGACTTTATATGAATTAAAACAAAAAATTGGTGATTGTGCCAATATTGTTCGAAGTTCTATAAGGAATTTAGTCGTACAGGAAATTATAGATTTTGCTTAAATTTTAAGTTATTATCACAATAAAAATAGATACTTCCTTAAACATGGCCCTAAATACAAATCGACCAAAAATTTAGGCTTTTTTAAACACAATTATCCCACAATTTTCTTTGATTATACAATTTTGAAAAAGGAGACCATTTTTACCCAACTTTTTAGTTTGGTATGATAGATATTGTATATATATTAAACAAATCTTTTAGATTTTTTTTTTTGCCAAAGCTTAAACAAATTCTTGATCAGTTAAAAGATCATCCCTTGATGATTTAGTTTATTTCCAGAACCCCTCTTGTAAATAATGGTATTGTAGTCCCAGCCTATCATCATATTTTAATATATGAAGTAGCCAAAAGATTCAAGCCCTCTTCAAAGACTAATATTAAAATAAAAATTAGAAAAATTGATTATGAAAGACAGATCTCGAAAACTATGGCAATGATGGAAGTCCAAAGTAACGATTTCAAACTAGTAGCACGATGGAATAACAAAGTTATTTTTTGTCAAGAGCACCTCGCCATAAGAATCAAAACAGAAAAAATTTCAATACCAAATATTTAGCAGAAGAATATATATCTG